CCCCCCCCCCCCCCCCAGTTTTTTTTTTTTTTAGCTCTACTGCCCAGTGCCCACATTATACTACTCTTATTGCATGTCTATTGTCTCATTTGTCTGTATTTTTTATTTAGGAATTTTAAGAAAATAATCATACTCAAACAAAGCATAACCCTGTCCTGAATTGTGAAAAAACAACTTCAATAAGCTAAAAAAATCACTGATGTGGCCACTATTCCCAGTGATCCCCTCTGAACTCTTCTTCTGTCTTTGGTTATGTCCTGCAGGTCAACTGGCAGCAGGCACCTGTGAGATTGTCACTCTAGACAGAGACAGCAGTCAGCCACGCAGGACGATTGCCAGACAGACGGCCCGCTGCGCATGTAAGAAAGGACAGATTGCTGGGACAACGAGAGCCAGGCCGGCCTGCGTGGATGGTAAGAGCAAATTTGGGGAAACTGTCAATCAAAAGTACTACATAACATTTTTTTTGTAAACAGTTAAAAGATTCAAATATTAGTCAAAAGTTTAATATTTAGCCATTACATCTTAGTTTGCACTCTTAAAACTGAAGCATCATGCTGTTCATATTCAGCTTATGTGAAAAGTACAACTCTTAAAAAAAAGCCCATCTTTCATCTGAACGGCTATCTCAGACATTTTGACATTGATGAGTGGTATTACACTACTAAGGCAGACCAATCTAAAACGTTTTTTTTTTGTTTTTAGTTTATGTCATCCTAACCCAGTGTTTCTCAACCCTTGTCCTGGGCGCCCCCCCAACACTGCACATTTTGTATGTCTCCCTTATCTGACACACCCGTTTCTTTTAATGAGCTAATGAGTTGAATCAGGTGTGTTTGATTAGGGAGACACAAAATGTGCAGTGCTGGGGGGCGCCCAGGACCAGGGTTGAGAAACACTGTCCTAACCCAACACGTTCACACTACCAACTTGTCACATATTGACGCTTGGTCAGGACCTATTGGCGAACAGGGGTACCCTTTTAGCATCACTTTTCGAAGAGCAGGCCATTGTTTTCAGTTGTTTGCATGCATTTGTAAAAAATAGAAATACTTTTATATAAAGTTATACTTACATTGGAGCACCTAACCCCACCCTACCCTAAACCTACCCACTTCTGTACAATATAAAACAAGCAGCATGCAAATAAAAGTACAGTCAGAGGTATTTATTATTTTAAAGCAATGGAGGACCCTGCACATCAAAAAATGACACTAAACGGGTACCCTGTGTGTCAAAAAGTGACGCCAAAGGGTCCTGAACAAGTGTCAATATGTGACGAGTTGGGAGTGAGAATGTGTTGCCTAACCACATACTGAGTTTGTAATGGAGTACAGCAGAGCAGTTTGTAATGGAGTACAGCAGAGCACCATCAAGAATAGCAAATATGTATCCTCGTTAATGTCCATTGGGGTCACGGCCCTGGATAAGAACTTTTTCTTGTAAGCTGTTTAAAAGCATCATTTTAAATTAAACTTTATAAGAACGGTAAATTTCTGAGGTTGCATCTGATGCCATTTCTTCCAATGTCTTTATATCGGAGGTTGTTTCGCCTATATGAGACCTGACACCTGACATTTGTCCTTGGGTCTGAAGGTCTGAGGATGTCCTCATATGTACACCGTACATGTGGCTTGTTAAGGCGACATGCAATCACTTTTCAAAGTAATCAGAAATATGCTTTTTGATAAAACATTAAAAATATATATTTTATTTATTGTGTGTATTTATTTAGGTAATTTGTTAATTTGGGCCAGTTGGTAACCACCTAGAAGATTTAAGTCAAGTCATGTCAGTTTTAATTCTATAGTGCTTTTCAATATATCTATATTGTTTTGAAATATTTGTACAGAGTATAGTGCATTACATGTTATTGTTCCAGAAAAGCACAAAAGCAGGACACAGTCCACCAGAGGGGATAAGAAAGGAGAGAGAAAAGTGAGAGGTAGAAAAGAGACAAATGAAATTTCAATCAGTTTAATCGGCTGGAGTCTTCAAGTCTCAGCACAGTTGTCATATGTGATGAGGCATGCTGTGTCCTTCAGTCTGTGGAGGTCAGTCCATCCACAGGATAATCCACAGACCGGGTTGGAAATTGAAGACCATTTCTTAAGGTTAATTCATACAGAATGTGAGTGGCATGGATTTTCAAAGGGAGCCCATTCCTATTCACATTGGGTGAAAACATTCACATACTGAAAACCCAACAATTTTGTTTGTAGAAGAGCAACATCTATTGTAGGGTGAATTCAGTCTCCAAAGATATTTGTGTTGATCGCAAAACTAGAACCATTTCCATCCCTAGTTTTGATATATTAAATTTCAGCTTAAAAGATAAATCAATTGGTCTTCAGAAGAAGGAAATCTATGATGGGTAAATAATGATGGGAGCACTATGTTGGAGAATTGAGGTTGAAATTCAATGAAACAATTATGTACAGGTGAATCTCAATAAATTAGAATGTCATGGAAAAGTTCATTTATTTCAGTAATTCAACTCAAATTGTGAAATCTTGAATCTATTTTGCTTGACAATCCTCATAAGGGGATTATGAGGATTGTCATAATTGTCATAACCGTTCTCTCGGTTGGTTGTGCATCTTTTTCTTCCACACTTTTTCCTTCCACTCAACTTTCTGTTAACATGCTTGGATACAGCACTCTGTGAACAGCCAGCTTCTTTGGCAATGAATGTTTGTGGCTTACCCTCCTTGTGAAGGGTGTCAATGATTTTCTTCTGGACAACTGTCAGATCAGCAGTCTTCCCCATGATTGTGTAGCCTAGTGAACCAAACTGAGAGACCATTTTGAAGGCTCAGGAAACCTTTGCAGGTGTTTTGAGTTGATTAGCTGATTGGCATGTCACCATATTCTAATTTGTTGAGATAGTGAATTGGTGGGTTTTTGTTAAATGTGAGCCAAAATCATCACAATTAAAAGAACCAAAGATTTAAACTACTTCAGTCTGTGTGCATTGAATTTATTTAATACACGAGTTTCACAATTTGAGTTGAATTACTGAAATAAATGAACTTTTCCATGACATTCTAATTTATTGAGATGCACCTGTATATCATTACATGTATCTCATATACAATGTGTCTCATTTACTTGAGCGTTTTGGGATGTCCTATTTAAAAACATGTGAACATGTTGCTTACAAAGCTACTTCCTTGTGTTCTTGTTTTGTGCTGCATTGTGAGCAGTCCAAAAAAAAAAATTTCACATTTCAAATGACATGCCAAACTTTTGTAATCAACTCTTTGGTTATCCACTTAGAGGACATTGTTGACTTTCAAGTTGTATTGATATGGGCACCGTTATCAGTCATTTCATGCCTTCTGGGTCATCTTCACGTGGAACAATGTGTCAGTCTAGAAATATTGACCTGTATTAATATAGAGAGGAAAGAAAATAATGAAATTATATTTCAAGCATACATCTCTCATTCAACTCTTGTTGAAAATGTGTTGGCTATTTATGCAGATAAAAGCTCTGGCAAGAAAAGTGTGAAGGATTCTGGGAATGATAGTTGTTGACTGTGGTTTGTAGGAATTAAGTAATTTGATTCTGAAATCACAATAACACCAATGAAAGTTAATGCTACATTATACTTGATTCCCATATAGTCGCTTTCGCTACACTGAGCACATAACTAACACTGAAAGCACTACATGCAACCAGAAAGCAGATAACATAATTATTTAGAGACGTCAGACAAATGGAGGTGAACAGAAATGCATTCTGGGATTGATGTTGAAAATGTCCCATGCTGCAAGTAACACAAAGCTTACTGAATTATAAAACCAACAGTGCAATGCACGAAACACAACCAATTTGCCTTGTTTAGTAAATCTGGCCCTTAATGTCTTAAATGGATGGAATTAAACAGTTACTGTATAATAAGGTTCAATTTTGTTTGTTTTAGTTTGCTAATGTGATGTAGTCATACAGTACATGTGATAACATGATGTGATAACATGATCTGTTTGTTGATAATACATTAAGTAATGTTAATTTATACAACTTGTTATAAATTTGTGAATGTATAATGAAACTAAAATTAATCTAGATTAATTTACGCAAAAGTATTGTTGTCACGAACAGCATGAGACTGATGCAGACTCAACAGCGGGCTTTATTGAAACACAACAGCTGAAGTGAAAACAGAATTGTGAGTACTGAACAATAGTGAGATGTCCAAAGGCAGTGCAGATGAAAATATAACAGTTTTTGCAGATGGAAATGGCAACACGGAGAATACAGCTGTGATACTCAAGTGAACTTGATGAGGCAATGGGAACACAGAGTCGAGGATGACTGGAGAACTATAAGACTGGATGACTAAAAGACTGACCCCACAATCCCCCCACCCCCCAAAGACTGCCCCTGAGTGCCAGAGCCTCCGACACCAAGGCTGACCACATCCACATGGCGTAGGGCAAGATAGCTGTTTGGAAGTTGTCTAGTAAGGTCGGATCCAGGATGTCATCTTGAGGTACCCAGGATCTCTCCAGGAGCCAGGACCTTAGCCTTCTCAGTCAACCAGGTACTCAAGAGGATTCCTCTGACGTCGGGAGTCCAGGATCTCATGGACAGCATAGACTGGCCCAGGAACAGTGGTGGAGGATTGTTAGGCCCACCAGACTCTGTGAAAGGGGACAAAGAAGGTTGGTAAGGCTTGAGAAGTGACAAATCAAATGTGGGTGCAATACAGTAATGTGCTAGGAGGTGTAAATGGTAGATGACTGGGTTGATTTGTCTCTTGACTGATGTAGTGGGGACTCTTGCAGTACAGCTGAAGAGGAATGACCCTGATACAGAGGCAGACCTTCTTTCCTGGATTGTAAGTAGAGGTTGTGAGAAGAAAGACCTCCAGACTGCGGTCTGAGACAACATTTCCCAGGACACCATCGTTGCGGAAGACGTGATGGTCTAGGGCTTCCAGGGTCTTCAGTTCAGTGATGAAATCCACTCCTAGGTGTGACCAGAGATGGTGTGGCACTGGGAGTGGAAGCTACTTGCCAAATGGAAGAAGATGTAGAGTCTTTGACAAGGCACAGTTAGTGCTGTGCCTTCCTTTATGAAGTGCTGGACATTCTGGGACATACTGGGCCACCAGTAATGATTTTGAAAAAAACAAGAGGGTTTGCTGTTGGCCAGGGTCACCCAAGCCCAGAGAAGAGTCTATGAGGTGTGTATGAAGTACTGATGGAGCATAAATCAACCCCTGTTGAGCCAGTGGTCCTTTAATGCCAGCTTGATGTAGCTCCTGGTTGCCACTGTAATAGTTTTGCTTTGCCAGGGCCATTTTCCTAAAGAAGAAGGCACATAGGATACCCGGATACCCCAGATAGGGATACCCTTGTCGCTGAGATAGTACTGCTCCAACTCCATTGGTGGATGCATCAAC